TTTTTGATAAGCACTTTGAGTGGCCTTGTGTATGAACTGTGCTGTACAAATTAGCTTGCCTGGCCATGTTTTGCTGTGGAAGGGATTGGGGATGTGTGGATACTGACAGAAAAAAGAGGAGGTTAGACAGACTGTCCACACAAGCTAATGAGAAGATGTTTGGTTGTGTTTGGAAACATAACGTCTTCATCCTGTGTGTGCTCTTCATTTATCACCCAAGATGACGTCTGAATGGGAGTCAAAAAATGTTTTGATTCTAAAAAGCTGCAGCAATCTTTCTCATCCTAGCGCTCAAGGTCTTGGAGAATCGGAATGGATTAATAATAACATAAACTGACAGCCTTTTAAAAGATTTTAAGCTTAAGGCAGAAGGTGTCGAGTAAGCTCTGTGCAGTGGTGTGGAAAAGTTTGGGCACCCCTAACAATTTGGGGTGAAAACTTTGTGTTGAAGGTTTTTGTGGTTCTTTTGAAAGACAAGTTAGATGTATTGCCTTGTTGACATGTTTTGTCTTTATTGTGTATGAACTGTGGATGGATGGATGGATAGTAAACCGTAGCACCCCAGAGGAAACTTACACTGACACAGGGAGAACATGCAAACTCTGTGCCACCCCTATATGACATTTTAAACTGCTATTTCTTATCCAAACCACCAATAATCCATCAAGGAAAATCCCAAAAAATGATGGTGGTGGCCAAACTTCATTCACACTACTGTAAAAAAGCAAGATGTCTATCTATTATTCAAGCACACACATTTTTTCCCAATGCGTTAACAAAAACAAAAGCTTTTGGAGACTTGAACCACCTGCCTTTGCTTACCCCAAAAGCTCTTTGATTGGCTAATTCTGGACGGATTCCTGGAAAAACTCACTTTTCGTGCCGATATCAGTGTCCTGGTTTGTTGTGCTCTTCACCAGGCGGTCAGAAGGAGGGGGCGCATGTATTTTTTGCAATGTTTTTCTTTGTGTGTTTGCTCTCGTAAATAAATGTGCGTCAATATAAAGCCTCTGCAGTTCCTCTTAAACACAATAATCATCACCTGGAATCCATCAGTTTGTGTGCGTATCTTGGCTTTGCTTTACTCTTGTTTCAGCTCGTTGCCAACATTGAAATTGCAGACCATGCCTATGCACATTTAAAATAATTGTTGGCAGGGAAATAGTAATCTTTTACATTCTTGATAGTAGGAAGGCTGCGTTGAAAGTTGTATGGGTACTGACCAAAAATCTTCCACAAGCCTAGATAACCTGAATAGACAATAACAAAAATATTTTCTTTCTAAAGAGCTAGTGCTTCATAGCAAGCAGGTCCTGGGTTTCGATTCCACTTCCAGGAGTTTGCATGACCTGCCCGTGTCTGTGTAGGTTTCCTCTGGGTGCTCCGGTTTCCCCTTCCTCAAAAAAATGTTGAATAGGTATGATTGTGTGAAATGTGCTGTATAAACAAACATTACTTACTTATTTTTTGATGCTTAACGGTTATGTTATTGGCAAGTCAAAATGTATCTAATGTGAGTTACACATACAATAATTCACCCTGAATTATTGTACATATTTTCAGTGGGGAAAACCGGAGCACCAGGAGGAAACCGGGGCATACACAGGGAGAACATGCACATACACCCTGTCTGGAGGCGAGATCAAACCCAGGACCTTGCAGTGACCTTCTTGCAAACCACTGTGTAAACTTGCTTAGATATTGTATTGATTTTTGGAATGCTAATATTTAGAAAAAAATAATTGAAATTTTTTTGATAATAATCAACTTTTCTATCCTTCATACCTTTGTGTGACTAACATTTCCATCTGATTCCCAGAGAGTTCTGTGACATTTTCACCAATCTTGTAAAGTCTCAAAGTCGCCCCTGAAAGGTTAATATTATGCCCTTGACACTTAGCAGAATGATGACATTTGGAGCCGCCAGGAGGGGTACTTTTCTCTATGGGGTGGATTCTTCACCAGGGAGGACATTTTGGATCTATCTCAATCAAAGCCGCCTCAACTCAGTCTTAATAACTCCTTCTGACGACCTTCTTACTAAATATAGCCATTTATGTATTGATTTGGGGCCCAGGCGTTCTCACAGCGTGTCTCTTTCGTAATGACCCATTTCAAAAGATTTTATGTCACTTCTATCGAGCCTGCAGGAACAAAAAAGAAATAAAATGCTTTCTGAGCATTCTGAGGTTTTCTCGATCGCGTACACAGAATCATTATTTATCTTTCATGGCGTCTTCTCTACATGTAGCGTGTATTTTATGCAGTCCACTTTATTGATTCTATAAATATTTGATTTAAAATATATGTATGCGCTCAAGGCAGCCAGGGTATTTTCTTATCTGAGTCAAAAGTTCAGAAGGAAACAGATGTGTGAGCTGCCATATACAAAAATCATGTGAAAAAGTCATATCACTCTAAGGCAATCCACTTTAGTACATAGCACATTTCATAAACAAAGGGTTCCTAAAGTGCTGTACAGTATCTGGCAATACAAATGTAAAACAAAACAGCAGAACACTCAAATAAAAAGGCCAATCTTTGTCAATGATGTTTTAAATAATGGTTTTTGAGGGTTTATGTTGTGATTGCCTATTGGCCTGCACAGGACGCCCATGGAAAAGAGATCTTGGAATTTCAATGGGATTATCCTGGTTAGATAAAGGTTGAAAAAATAATTAATCAATTATTTTAAAACAATAAAACCAGAAAATCCAAAGAGCAGGAACACATTAAACATATAAAATCAATGACATAAGATAGATACATAACACAGGACTCCACGTAACTCTTTATCCCAACAATATCTCAGCAATACACCTCCCCTGCAGTGAGGATGACTATGATTAAAACTATAGCTGTTATGTACTCAGACACAATGAGTCACGAACATTTCTCCAGTGTGAGATCAATAAAGTCTTACCTTATCTTGTCAACATCCACAGGTCCAGTCAGTGAATATCCAGAAGCAGCAACAGCATTTTAATGAAGAAAATCAGTTGACGATAGGTTTGCACAATTTTAACCAATATATTTAAATTTGAGGGAAAAGTGAAATAATATCAAAACAAGTACATTCTCCCTTAAAATCCCACTTTGTTTAAAGCTAACTTTGATAAGACGAGACTTGCAGTTTTCTAGATAAGACAGTCAAAATGCACTCCAATGTACTATTTTACTTACCAAATTTTGACATTTGCAGTGATCTAAACACAGAAGTAGCCACATGGTCATAATATGCAACAAGAACATTTGTTACTTGTATGGACATTTTCAGAATAATTGCTTTATACATTTTGTTTGCTTCTCTACAAAATCAGTTATTATTTGAATGATATCATTTGTGCACCCCCATTACAATGTGAACTTGTTACATTTTCTTTGAGCAGGACCAGTTTGAGTGCATTCTCCATATGCTGTGCAGTAGATATAATGCAGAAGGATTCAGTGTCATCTTAAAGCACCCCAGAAAGTAGAAGTCTGTGACACTTTATCTGTTCTCCTTCAGCCGCTACAATCAGGTCTTTGTGTGCTGAGCTTTTCTGTCATCTTTGTGGTTCTGTTGACATGGGTCTCGTTATTCAAGTGCGCAGCCCTCATACACCGCACTAAACACTGGCTAATTGTGCCTGACCAGCCAGAACCTGTAAGAGTGCTGATAAGAAGCTATTTGTCAGATAAGCAGGCTTTATTCAGGACCTGAGGTGGACGTTCCTCACAACTTTGAAAACTAAACTTTTAGATCAGTTATCATTTCACATTATGCTCTTTATTTCTGCTGAACACATTCACTTATTACCTTGAGATTTGCAATAAAAAACCGTTACCCTGGGGTAAAGCAAACCTTAAGTCCTTGAACTTCAGGCTCTCCCACTCATGAAGTTTGTACCACACTAGAATCTTTTTTAATCAACAAAATATTTAAGAATTCATGAACAATGTTTTCATAAAAGGAGATATGAATCTATAACATCCTCAGTCAGAGTGTGATGTCTCGACTCGTAATATATCTGGAGCAAGAATGCACAGGATAAATTAAACAGGAGATGTTGCCAGGCAACACTGCTCCTATCGCCCGACCCCTCTCTGTGTGAGCAGGGTACTTAATTTCCCTGACCCCCTGGGTCTGCGCTGAACAGCCTCCATTGATTAGGACAAATGGGAGGAAGAGCAAGCACCCCGTCCTGCTTTATGAGGGTAAAGATAGTCATTGTGGGAGAAAGGTCCAGGGTCTTACCTCATAGATATGAGTCCCATGTTTTAAAAATATTAATGACAAAAAATGTAAAATTTGTTGATCTTTTGTGAGTTGTTTTGGACCCCTTTACTAACTCTACACAAATCAATGAACTACTCCAATAAACAGAAGCCAACAGTCATTAAACATGTTGCACTTGTTAAATTACAGTTTTTTTTTTTTTTAAACTATGTTCTCAAACTTGCAAGTGAAAAAGTGAGTTGCCTCCTAAATCTCGGTATCTTGGTCGGTTGACTGGTTATTTAATTGATCTCCAATAACAAATCATTTTGAAAGGTGAAAATATAAATGTTATGACTATGATTATATTGTTTGGGATTATTCTAAAATGGAGTTACCCTCCCTTACACCAGTGTAATAAAATACACAACAATAATCTACAAATTAATTTCAAAGCAGTAGAATATACAATCTTTCTGTAATCTTGACTTATAAATGGGACATTTGTGCATTGTTAAACTGTCCTAATTGTGTCCTCTCTGGGACGGCTGGATGCATGTATATGTGCGTGCAGAACAGCCACAACAGCTGTTTCCCTTGAAACTCCAACAGATAATAGACTCACAGACTCCCTGCTGCCCCAATAAATGCCTGCGGTCAGAAGAATTTATTTAATCTTTAAAAAGCTGACCCAAGAGACTTGGTTGGAGCTATCAAACCTACTCAGTAAATGTGATAGCCTAACGCAGGGAAACCTTTTATTCTTTGTTTGAGGTGTATTCAATGACTTCACTGGAGGGTTATGCAGGGACAGGGACTGGATTGGCCACCAGCTGCTCCCTGGACCCTCGCACCCCCCACCGCAGACCGCCCCTCCCTCTTGGTGACACCCTCTTGTCCCCACAGACTGGACAACATGCCGGCCCTTTATGCCACCTGTCCATCAGCTCCAGTGCACCTCGGGGAGCCCCTGTCACTGAGCTCGGAGTTGCCGATCATTGGCTTTGTTCACATTCTGCCCCCCCCCTACGTCCTGGCCCTCTCGCTGCTGTCCTTTATAAATACAGACACACTGAACATTGGATTGCCTCTGTCAGCTATTTCCTACATCTGCCTTCAGGCACAAAGCTCCCATCACTGTTGCAAGTATGTCACCACCTGTCTGATCAGACCCAAACCTGGAATGCAGATGTGATGAATACAGTTTTAGGACCACAACACATATTTTAATTTGTCGGAATGATTCTCAAGCAGTGTTTTTCTTTTACTTTAAAGGCTGTACGTTTTTGTTTACCCTTGCCTTTCCCAAGGCCCTGCTGGGGTAGCCTGTCCGCCGCTGTCATCTGTGATGAGGCCTCGTCCAGATCTCAAAGGTCTGGGTGCAGTGTGCGCACCGGAGCAGAGCAGAGCAGCTCCTTAAATGGCCACGTCTTCAGTTGCCCATAGCAACCGGCTGTCCTTGGGAACAGGGTGTGTGAGCGAGTTTGGAAGGCCTTCAGACTGACAACCAGATTCAAAACTCACCATGAGTGGTGACATGTCAAATTGCCTGTAGTGCAAACACTGCTCTTCATTCGAACTTTAAAATAAAAATCTGTGAATCGGAGCACTGGGGCGTGTGCTGGAAAATATGTGTTCACTGGGAAAGAGCATCTTCAAATCATTCAGCCACACACTTGTTTGCGGCATGTGGGCGTGCTTTTCAGGAAAAATAGTGCCACAAGTGCTCATTTCACACAAGATCCAGGTCGGGTGGAGGTTGGCTACATTCTTTTGTAGGCCTTGACAATGGCCAGTTAAAAACTTGAGTATCGGATCTCTTTGCTTTCCTCATTTCCTTGCTCTTCTAACATTTCAGAGTGCCCATTCAAGCACAGCAGAACATGGGAGAACAGGTGTATTGCCTTTACCTCTTTACCACAGCCGGGGTCACAGCAGCTCTAATAAAACAAGCAAGAACTGCAATTACTGCATCTTGTTTTACACTTCTACAATGTGAACAAGATTGAATTTTTAGTAAACATTGTTGCCTCCATCTCACAATCACATCTGTCTCTGTGTTTGCTGTTTCATTTGCTTTAAAGCTCGTAAAGTGGCCAGATTGTGTGCACAATTTATAAAGATTTGCCATTAAGAATATTATGAAGAGGAAGTTTACATGATCAAGATTAAGATTAAGAGATGCTTTATTTGTCCCACTGTGAAATGTCAGTGTTGCATCACCAGTTACAGAATATTAGGAATGAGGAGCACACAGCACAAGATCAGTGAAAAATAACTTAATAAAATATACTAAAATATAACAAAAATGTCTCTTAACTCAAGTATATACAAGCAAGTATAAAATCTCTATAACTATAGCATAATAAAGAAGCAGTGGCCTGTGATTAAATGTAAATCACTCGTCAGCTAAATGTGTTTGTAGTGTGTATTGCGCAGGTTGACAAGCTATAGCCCTAAATGGAGATTAATGCTAACAGTAGCCCTGCCACACCCGAGCCATCTGCGACCTAGTGTAGCGAGGAGGTCCTCCCGCAACCTGATTGGTCTCCTCCATCCTCCGGAGAAAAAGCTGTCAAGTGATCCACCTGCATGAAATGACCTGTTCTGCCTTATTCCCCTTACCACATAAATGAAAAAACTTAAAACCGACCAAATCATATTTTTTGGTTTTTGAAATATTAGCTATCAGGCCAAAATTCTTCCCAAGCGGCTGCTATGCTATCATGGCATGTTTTTAGGACAATCTTCTCAGGAAAACGACCGCATCAGTTTTTTGACTCTAAATAATAATCCCAAAACATACTAGCAATGATAATCAATTGACAGAACCTTTGGTTTAGCTCTATTTCATTCCATTAATTTTACACAGACAAACGTGCCACACAAGAATATCCAAAGAATATCCAAACCCATTATTCAGATTCAGATTCAATAAAAGTAGTCATTTGTATACCTCCATTGGACAGCCACTTTTTATTAAAATCGTTTCAGCCTCAGAAAAAGCCTATTTTTAAATTGTTACGGCCTCAGAACAATAGATTCTATAGATTGACCAATCTATAGAATTGAAATCATGTTCAAATCCATTCATCATTCATTAATTTATTTTCTACCGCTTTATTAGTCCATTTCTTGGTCAGTGGGGTGGCAACGAGATCTGTCACCCAAGGCTCATAGCACCGGTCCCTCACTGATCCTCCTGCAGGTGGTGGGTCCACAGGAAGATGGCTGCTCTTTCATCGGACACAGCCTTGGTCTTTCAGCGGGGACTTCGTGCAACGTGGGGTTAAGTGTCCAGACCCCTTGGGCACATGTATATGTCACACAGTGACATATACATATATTTATGTATTTAAAGTGCATGGAGGAAGGAGTGATGAGGGAAAGGTGTAGGGTCAGAGTATTCTTGCCTGTGTCTTGTCTGAGTGTGTGCATGTGTGAGTGTGTGTGTGTGTGTGTGTGTGTTTTATTGTATGAAAGGGGATGGAACCAAATTCACCTCTTCTTCATCCAGCCCCTTTTCAAACTGTACAAAGCTTTACATTTGTTTGATCCTTTTGGTGTATGTTTGAAAAATAATTTACTATACTATGCCTGTACTCTAACTCCTCCATACTTTCCTCTGAATGTCTTTGCTGGATTAGATCTCTGTAATTTCACTAGCCCACGCCTGGCTTCCCACTTCTTCTCTGAAAGAAACGTAACACAAAACCAGAAGATTCCAGACAATATTTCTGCACGCTGCTCCGGGAATTTTCTTTCATCTTAGTTTCTTCCTCTGCTGACAGATGGTACTTATCAGACAGTATGGAAATGGTGTGGTTAAGTTACTTTTCACTCTTGCTTTTTTCTTTGCACATTTATGACCTGATGATTATTCTGGGGGTTTTGCGGTCTTGAAAAGTGGGGCACTCTGCTAGCATGAGCCCAGGCTAATGTTTGCCACATGAGAGTGAATGACGCACTTCAACCACTGTTAACATGCAACTAATGATCACATGATGGTTGTGTGTCTGATGTCTAATTGATTCAATAGATCAGTCACATTTGTGAATAATGCTTTTACAAAAATCTCTTTCGTTGGGGATACTCTGCTGTACACATTAATTCAATTCAGTTCCATTTATTATTGCATAGCCCCCAATAACAACAGTAGACATCTTGGAGGAGTCGGACTTTACAAAACCGTTGAATTCGTCAAAACAGATCAAAGAATCTAACAGTTCAAACCCAAGAAATGCAATGATGAAAAACACAGTCATTGGTCTATAAGAGGCAGAAGACCAATGTTCATAAATGTTGAAGGTCATAAATGTTGAAGTTCATAAATGTCAGTGTTGTTGTTGAATGTAGTGTCTTGGATCATCACCACTGTCCTTGGACCCTCCTGAATCAAGGAAAAACTCTAAAAGCCCATGGAGGACACCATATTTTAGGCGTAGTGCACAATACTACACTAATAGTAATGATTCATGACATTATTGATTATTCCAGAAAATCTAGTTGTGGTAGTGGGAGGGGGGGTTGTGTATATATAATTTAAAAAAACACGCACATAGACTGTACTTGCTGTCAACAACTGTAAATGCATCTAATTGTGTGTGTAACAAACAATAAAAAAAAAAAAAGGAAGTGCAACCTAATTGCACTAAAAGTAAAAAAAAAAAAAAAAAAAACATATTTTAGGCGTAGTGCACAATACTACACTAATAGTAATGATTCATGACATTATTGATTATTCCAGAAAATCTAGTTGTAATAAAGTTTCAAACCAACAACTATTAATATGTAAAATTCTATGACATTTATGGCAAAAGTGTGACGATTCGATGGTAATAATATTTGGGCCACAATTCATCGTCATCGTGATTCTTGTAATTCGAGTCCGTGATACATTGTGTTTCACGTCCCTCATGTTATTCAAAAGCATTGCAAAAATTGAGGAATAAAAGACTGCTCAAATCAAATGTCACATTTATTATGGTCTGCACATTAACTGAATGGCAAACGCTTAGGATTGTAGTACAAAAACCGAATAGACGACTCTCACATGAACGGTGAGCTCCCAGCACATCACTTACATTAACAGAGTCACAGAGAGCAGACATCATAGAGGAACACAAACATCAGATGTAAATTGAATACTTAAGAGTGAAACAGATTTTTTGCTCATACTGTGTCGATTTAATTGCATATACAAAATATGGTCCCCCTCCCTCTAATATTTTGAGCTCTCTACGGCTAGAATACACAGTAGGGGGTGCACAGTGCTAGTTTCATTCAGCATTTCATTGACTTTATTTTGGTTCAATTTGTCCATATTTCTGAAAAATAAATACATTATTTGATTAAATGTACTTGAATCTGTTTGATTTGCTAGCAGCCGACATGAGCTAATGAAAGGGAAAATGTACGTACCCCAGCTTTAATTTAGCGAGTTTAGTTGCGCTTCAAGACAGGAGGAAACACGGTCACGGACAGCTTCAGCTGTGTATTTATTGCTGCACAGTTACGCACAGGTCACGCAAAGACACGCACAACATGCAGAGAATGGTTCTTTGCGTGTATGGTCTTGGATATGATCACGTTACCGTGACACCATTTGCCGTGTTGTTGTTGGCGGCTCACAGCCAGCTAACAACAACCAGAGCGGCCGCAGCTGCCCCGGGTCAGAACGCTGCGGCCACGTAGCGGACTTGAGTTCATACAGCAAACAACAGCAAGTTCCCCACGGTCACGCACATATTCTTTTGAAACTTGAATTCCCAGAGGGCCTACCTGCTCTGTTGCCATCTCACACATGCATTTGTCCGCGGAATTCTGAGTGATATTATGGGATACATGGGTGGGTCATTCGGACATGCGTTAAACGTGTTAAAAAAATAATGAAAGATGTAATTAACGTGCGTTAATGCGATAATTTTGACAGCAATAATTTAATCTTTTTTTTTTTTTATAATAGAAAAAAAAGGATTTTGGTTCACTACAGCATTTATACAGTTTCACATTTGGCTTTGTGTTCAGAGGAAACAATGTCTAATCTTGTTGATGTCATTATGGCTAATATCTCTCTGAAGAAGTATTTTTAGCTAGTGACATTTTGAACATTGCCCCAGCTACAACGTGGTCCTTGTAAATACCAAGGCTGTGGCACATATACAGTAGCATACAGTGGTATCTGTATGCACCGGC